GCTGACTGTCAACCTGAATGAATGTGGTAAATGTTACCTGTAGAAATAGCCAGAAGCGACTACCTCATATAACAGGAGGAAGAAGGGATTGGCAGTAATGGGCATTAACAATCTCATTGCTAGCAATATACCCTATCAGGTCGACCTCCACGCGGTTCCTTCTTTAATTATTATATCTGCAGAATAAATAAATAAATATATGTCGTTTATTTAGAGGTTCTTATACGATGGATTTATTTGCATTCACGCTCCACTGTGATATTGTCATTATAGTAATTAGTTGGGGTGACCAACCCCTAAATTTTTATTTTTATTTTTTTAACAAAATTTTTTTTACTTTATTTTATTATGATTTTGGTATTGAAAAATAGATAAAACTTCAAATTTTCACCCTTTTACGATCAACCCCTGTTTTTTAATCGCGATTTTTATATTCCGTAATAAGGTTGCAAGATGGCGATCGAATAATTGTAGTAGGATACATTTTCATGTATAGGTCTCGAAATAATGTATATGGTAAAATAACGTTTGCCGAGTCAGCTAGTTTTTATATAAACGTAATATACATACCATTTTGCAATTTGCATAATCATGCGCTAGCAGTGAAACAATGAAAATGTAATTTCGCGTACAGGTTTGTGTGCATACAAATTTTTATCTTCCAACAATAATAATTTTATAATTATGTACACTGTGCTCACGAGCAACACACAACCGTGAACCGCGCTCATGAATAGGGGCTCCTATTTAGTTCGAAACTAGTCGGGCAACCCCGAATTTAAAACTCGAATAAAGCTGACATATATAATCATAATACTGTATGACTCTTATTGAATAATAATTTTTGTATTTATCGTATAAGAAAATACGTCATAAGATTACGCACTTTTCCCTTTGGTGGTTGGTAACCACAGACCAACCTACATACTTTTATTCATAAGGAGATATTATAAAGTTTTTTTATTACAATACAGGTATACAAAACACTCAAATTTATATAAGAGGTCGATGATCGCATAAAGCCTACTATATCATTGACGAATACATGACTGATGATTATAGAGATTTAAAAAAAATATAAAAATAAATTACATAATACATAATACAAATATTAGATAGACAACATCAAATTTATAACAGTATCTATGTTTATGCAAATAAATCACTGATTGGGGGGGAAAGGGATTGTTAGTAATGGAGACTGAGAATCCCATTGCTAGCAATATACCCAACCAGGTCGACCTCCTCGCGGTTCTCCCTGGAAACTGTCATGGTTAATTCCTGATGAATTCATCATGATGGGCTAACTGGCCTGTTTTCATTCTCATCTATCACCTTTCACTGGTGCTCCGTCAGCGTATCCCGTTAGCACAGGCGGGGTTACCATACCATTTTCACCCATAAAAAAAATCACTTATTGATTGATGACATGTCCATTTTACATATATTTATGCTATAAGTAGTTTTTTCATTTATTTATTACGCATCTTAGAATGGTTAACAAGCTGACGGCCCACCTGATGGAAAATAGTAACCGTCGCCTATAGACATGAGCAGTACCATGGACATAACAGAGTATACTGTTATGATACCTCCCATGCGTTGCCACTCCTGAGGACTTAGGTGTTATTCCTCTATACTCTGTAAATTCACTGCCATATCCCATCCTTCAAACTGAAACAAAGCCATGCAAATACTACTGCTTCTCGGTAGAAACAGGAAGGGGAGCAAAGGTACCCACGCAAACGACTTTTGTACAAAGTCTCCCTCTGGTGTAATAATAAATAGTTATAATAATAATAGGTAAGTCATATAATAATGTAAACCCCATAACTTAAACAACTCACATCTAGATACAGCGATCTCAGTAACAATTTGAGAATCCGATCAAATTCTTCTTTAAAAATGGTTTATATTTGTAATGGTAATAAATTGTTTAATTTTAAAATGAAATGAAATGAAATGAAATGAAATGAAATTTGAAATTAAATTAAATGAAATATATTGCGATGAATGTGGTAAGTTTAGGTAACATTATACATTTTGTGTAACCATGACATTCAGCCAGCTTGGCATGCAACATTTTTATATGTATTATTAATAATCAACTATTAATTAGAAATTTAACAATTATTAATTATTTTTATTACAAAAATATTTCTTTATTTTTAGTAATTAATTTATCAATATTGTTAACTTAATAATGTAATAATTATAGTTACAAAAAGATAAAGCATAAGCAATAACAGATTGTTGACAGTTTTTGGTACGTTTTTTGATAGTCAACGGCTGTTGGAGTTTTAATACTGATATAACATTTTGATATGCCTTATATTTTTTAACTGAACTTATTATTTTATATCGTAAACACATATATGTTTTATTACTGCATCCTGCTATTTAAAACAAACGCAGCATCTAGAATTCATAATCTAATCCATGACTGCGAAGTAAATAATCCACTCTCTTAGATCCAATAATTGCTGAGCCATCCTACGTATGTATACTGTTCACCTCAAAACAAATAACGCACGAGATGAATCATGTCACGTCGATTCGCTCTGTGAGAAATTGAGCTTATTAAACATAACGGGCGTTGTACACTTTTTGCTAACCGCATAGAGGTCACCCAGCGTGGCGTAGCAAAAGCGTGGGATGCTCGCGATATTGTCAATCTACGTATGCTTTCCAGTTTTTGCACGAATCATCTAATATGGGGTCTGTTAGTTTGTAGTTAGATTCATTTGTTTTGTTTTTTTTTTTTATAATAATTTACTGTTATATAATTCTAACGTGTGCTCTACGAATCTCACGGTATATGTATGTATATAGTAACATATGTTCACTGGATGTAGGTAAATATTTCCATACGTCAGGGTCTAATAATTCGTTTATATTGTTGACTGGATGTTAATGAAACAATTGTTAGATGTAACAGTTTTTTTTTTTTGTGATAGTAGAATTGTTTTGGGAGTTATATTGCTTTATCGGATGGATTTACAAATGTCCCACAACTGGAATTGGGTTCGTCTTCATTAGAAGAGAATATTAGTCTAAGATAACAGTCAGGTAAATTTTAATTTGCTACTTATTGGAATTTATATTGAATTTTCCTTGCTCGGTATGGAGAATGTGTATTAATCTTTTAGTATTCTGTTATGGGGAGAAAGGGATTATAAGTAATAGGGTTTAACTGACCCATTGCTAGTAATACGCCCTATCAGGTTGACCTCCACGCGGTTCGCCCTGGAAACTATCGTGGTTAATTCTAGTGGAATTCGTCACGATGGGCTAATTGATCTGCTTTCATCGTCACCTATCATCCCTCACTGGTGCCTCGTCAGCGTATGCCGATAACGCGGGTGGGGTTACCATTCCATTATTATCCATTAAAAAAGTCACCTGTTACAACATTTTGGGAATGTAAATGTGTGTTAATACTTTGCATTCTTACTTCATTACTACATAGACAGTCTCATTAAATAATAAATCATTCATTATTAACTTTCTCTTTGATAGATCAACGACAAAAACTTCATAAATTCGTAGTTTCATTTGTTAAAGATATATCTAAGTGTTATATTTAAGCAAAAAACTTCACTAATGACAGTTTCCGCCATTAAAAATGTGTCTAATGTCATTTTAGTTATCATGAAACGTTAATATTTTGATACAGTGTTTTGATTTGTGTACAATGATATCTCCTGACATCATTTTTTACACGCGTTGCCCAAAAATTGCCGTCAAAGTGTGCCAGTGGGGTGCAATCAAGTTTGTTTAAGAGTGACTGCAAGTTGTATATTGTGTCGGGCGAGTTTAAGTATCAAATACGGTCCCACGGTACGTCGTTTTAGGCAAGCGAACGGCAATTTCAGTGAAATTGTTGAATCTGTATGCGTGATACGGAATTCAGCTTCCGTTTCACGCAAAGATCGAGATTTCGTTTATAATAATTTTGTTTTTTGTACTTGCAAATGTTTACTTTACAATTTACACATATATATATATATATATATATATATATATATATATATATATATATATATATATATATATATATATATATATATGTGTAAGTTGTATATTATATAGATATATAATTTATTTACAATACTTACAGCACACAAACACAGTAAAATTAAGCACATATAGAAAAGAAACAAAATATATATGCATGCGTGTGCCATAGTAATATAAAATGGTCACAACTCATTTTATTGTTTTGCCTTCAAAAGAGCAAAACACTAGATCTATTTTTCGACATCGTAATTACTATTAAGATACCATAGAACATAACTAGGCACATATGAATTTTTTTTACATTTGCATCACCTTTCTTAAAGTTATTGTGTACTCTGGTTTGTTCTTGTAACTGCTTATAATAAGTTTATTATTACTTTATTATACATTAGCTTTTTTTTCTTTATACAACTTAGAATGGCAATCAAGCTGACGGACCACCTGATGGAAAGTGGTAACCGTCGCCTATAGATATGAGCAGTACCATAGACATAACAGAGTATACTGTTTTGCCCATGATACCCCCCATGCGTTGCCATTCCTGAGGACTCAGGTGTTATACTTCTGTACCCAGTAAATTCACGCCATATCTCACCCTTCAAACCGAAACACAGCCGTGCAAACACAACTGTTTCACGGTTGAAACGCGAATGGGACAGAGGTATGCAAGCAATCGACTTTTGTACAAAGTCTCCTTTACAAAGTTTTTTTGCTAGATTTTATTTTTACTTATATACCTCTTTTTTATATCCTTATATATAATTCAGGTATGCAACTGTTAAATATTTGTAATTATTTCAGTTTGGGCGATTAAATAAATAGATACAGATAATGCTACAAAACAACTATAAAAAGGTCCACATCTCTATTATCAGTTATTACCATTCAAAATCGCATCTTAATACGATGTGAATGATTATTGTCCTATAGCTAGACAAGCCTTCTATTTTTATTTAATCTAATTCGCCTCTTCATTGCAGGTTCCAGAAAGAATTGAGCGTCCTCAACTTTCCAAAAATATTATTATGGAGCAGAACGGCGAATCAGTGAAGCCTCCGGACAAATCTTTCAATATGAAATCCGACATACGATGCACCGAAGTGACAGCCCTTAACATGGAAGTGGAAACCCTGAGGTGGCAACTTGCGCAAGTATGTACTCGTATTAAAGTTCACCAACAATATTGTACAATACTGATGTTATTAACTGCTATTCTAAGATGTAAACTTTAAATATTTTCCATTGTTTTGTTTTATGAGGCTTAAATGGTTCTGAAATGCGAAACCATTGGTGCACCAATGTTACATTTCCAAAATAAAGTCCATTTATAAATTGCAATGCGAATATGCAACGCGAATACGCAGCGAATTGTGATTTTGTTTACATTCTTGTCGCTTTACGTAATTATAACGTACATTAACTTTGCCAATCTGAGTGTATTGTTTTCAGACTGAAGCCAACAGGCAGATGCATATAGCTTTATTGAAGCAAATAGTTACTTTCCTAAATAAGGTTAAGGATCATATAGAATACCAGAAGAATGAGAGTGCCGACAAGGAGCCTCCGAAGCCTTTCCCACGTGCCTACAAGCATCATGACTTGCCTCGGTCTAAGTCCGTTCTACATGTGAACAAGAATGTTGAATTGCCTCCCACCAAAAAAATAAGCCCAAAAAAGATTAGTAAATCCATCAGTAATGTCAATGGATTCAAGGATTTCAACGGAAGTTGGTAAGTTATTGTCATCTTTATCATCATTACAGTCGCAGGAAGCTTCTGTGCTTCTGGACGGAGCTAGGTTGGCTGTACTAGCCACGACTAATACGCACAACGGCCCAAATTGAGAGGCTAAGCGCGGAAAATAGAGTCCTATTTACATTACATTACATCATTTCAATAGTTAATTGTTCATTGCTGAACACAAGTATTCGCCATAAAGGAAGTTTTGCCAGTAGTTGCTACGCTTGGCAGACGGGTTGGCAATAGCAGTTAGGCTTTTAGAGATGTTCAAGAGAGACTTTGTACAAAAGTCGATTGCTTGGGTACCTCTGTCCCATTCGTGTTTCTACCGTGAAGCAGTTGTGTCTGCATGACTGTGTTTCGGTTTGAAGGGTGGGATATGGCGTGAATTTACTGGGTACGGGGGAATAACACCTGAGTCCTCAGGAATGGCAACGCATGGGGGGTATCATGGACGAAACAGTATACTCTGTTGTGTCCATGGTACTACTCATGTCTACAGGCGACGGTTACCACTTTCCATCAGGTGGGCCGTCAGCTTGTTTGCCATTCTAAGTTGTATAAAAAAAAGACACTGTTGTCCATCCCCCTCCCTTTAAGTTCCCTTAGTAGCCTCTTACGGCATCCATGGGAAAGTAAGGTGTAGCTTATTCTATGCTAGGACCACACGGCCATTACTACTTATTACTATATGGACAAGTTATTATACTATACAGTTATTTATATTTTGAATTTTATTACAATGTTATATTTTAAACTTACGATTAGAACTTAATACAACGCGATTATAAGTGAATAGTACCTGATTAATGACATCACATTTTTACGTTTTACGCATTTAGGTTGGTTTCACCTATTTAGCTAAACAAATTACAGGCAATCCACGTCAAACGTAGATTGTCTGTAATATGTTTACCTCTAATCGCATCGCGTTAAATCCCCATCGTGAATTTAAAATATGTGTAAATAACTTGAATGTTTAAAACTAAAATATAGTTATTAAAACAAACACTTATTGTAATTATTTTAAAAATATAATATAATATGTAATATAATGTATGCAATGTTTTAGGAATCAACTGAAGTCATCTCCTCACCCTGATACAGAAGCTTCGAAAAAGATATCAGAGGAAATGTCAAGGTTAATCACTCTTGCCAATACTGTGCTAAGCACAAAGCTGCCCGATCTCGCGTGTACGTATAACGATATTCCAACTGAGATGAATGGCTTATCATCTTTGAACCAGATCGAAAAGGTAGCGTCCAGAAAAACATCAACAGCTTCTTTAAATACGCTGGAGCAAAGCACAACAAATGCGTTCATTTTGAATACCATGTGCGATACTGATGACCCGTACAATGATATTACAAATAAGTTCGCAAAAGCCAAGGACGATACCTTGACTAATTTTATTGGGTCACCTTCACCACTCACTTGTGGTTTGGAAAACGATTTCGCCGCTATACAGGTAAACGATAAAGAACATACCAATTCACTGTCTGCAAAAAATAGGATGAATATAAATGTTAAAGCGTCTAAGATCACTGCTGATAGAAAAAATGATTACAATCACATGTCTAATTTTATTGAGGACGAAAGTGGTTTCTCCTCGATGAGTTCTTTTCAAGAGATTGGAATACCAATAATAAGTATTATTCCACCATCTCCATGCAAGGAGGTGGGATACTTAGAAGAGGTGCCTGATATTATGGGCGATCATGAGAAGTGGAAGACTGATACGATCGAACTCGACAAGCAGAGCGTGAAGGTGTTTTGGGTTTGAATCAACGTACAAAGTTTTCAGTTCAAAGTGTTGTAACTCTCAAAACTATTTTGTGCAGTTAACACATCTTAGTTATACTTATTTATATATTGCCTTAAACTAGGGTTACTAACACTGTCTAGTGTTTTAATAATTCAATAAAGTTTAAAATAACATTAATCCATTGTTTTCTTTTCGTACCATGGTATTGTATAATATGAAACTCCATTTAAATAGCCTTGAAGATACTGTAGGCCGATTCGATGAGCGATGAAAATCAAAAGTAACCTTGGCAACGGTCTCACTTAATGGAAATTTAAGGTCGATTTAAAAATATAAAATATTAACAAATTTATAATTTTTATAGACAAATAAAATGGCATGGAAGTACGAGTAGGTATATTATAATATCTCTGACTATAACTATGTTATTATAGGTAATACAAAGATCTTATTATTCATCTACATATTAAGTTTATCGCTTGTAATTTTTAAATCAGTATTTAATCAAGAACAAGGAATTACGAAATTTTTGGTATTTAGTATTTAAATTATAGTAGTATTTGTAGTTTATTCTTATATTCATTAGGTATTTGCAATAAAGGAATTTTATATTATCGAAATGTAGCATTACTTTCAATACTATTATTATTATATTATTACAAACTTTTTACATTGTTTTTTTTTTTGTAATCGTAGCAAACTTGATATTTTGTCATATTAATGACAACATAATAAAATAAAAATGGGAAATAGTCAAACAGATATTTAAGAAAAAAAATTATAAATAAATATAAAAATTTCGATCCAAAATTTAATATACGTAATATAAATTAGATACAAAATTATTTGTAAAAATGGCCGATTCGGAAGACGAGAAGGCTAGTGGTGATGTGGGGTCAGAACAAAAACTAGCAGAAGTCCCAGAGCCGGAAGCCCCTAAGATACCTGATGTGGAACTTATAGTTGATGGGTTCGGATTCATGCCGAAATCACCAGTGACTACATCAAAAAGTCGTTCTGGAAGTGTATTTTCTAAATCTTCTCAGAAAGTACAGGAAGAGACAGTTCCAGAAGAAACTCCAAAAAGTCCGTGTAGTTCTAGCAGTAATATTGATATAGTTCGAAGATACACATGGAAGACTAAAAACAGAATGACAGTGCAGGTAAGTTATTAAAGCACTTTTTTTTATAGCAAGAAGGTGGGAAACAAGTATACAGCCAATCTGATGTTAATCCGTTACTGTAGCTTATAAGAGCTATGAGATTAGTGATGTCATGAGCGCGTTGCCAAACCTGATGATACCTCAATATGCCCTTACTGAAGAACCCCATACTGTAGTCTTTAAGGTTCAGCTCTCATTCCACAGTCTATGCGTCTGCGGGAACAAACCCTTTGAAACCGCATTGTACGCGACTATTTAAGTTTAAGCGTGTGAGAATGAATATCCTATCGATGATGTGCGATGATAATGATAAAATATGGCTTTGGGCACCATTTCGAACAATTCACTTTTAGCCATAGAATAAGTTGACAATTTTGTAACTGTAACTAACTCGCGGTTTACATAAGTAAATATGGATTAAACGTTTCTAAAATATATAAATCTACTATATGACCTGGCCAAGTTCTCAATATTATTAAAATATATTCGAATTTAAGCGCTATTGATCCCTTAACAAACATCCCAAATAAGTATATTCACAAACTTTCATATTTATATGAGTAACATTCCTGACAACTGATGCATGTTACAAAACCTATAATAGATGCTATAAACATGGGAAACGCTATGGGCAACACAATATATTGCATCGAATACTCACTCTTTATGCATTTACTCGTGTACTCCCGAGGGCCAAGTTTGATTTGGTATATCTTTTGTACCAAAACTTAGATTGACTATTCATGTTGACGATATGACGTTATGAGGATTAATGATTCATAACAGGAGAGTTATGATTGTTAAGATTTCACTACATTTATATTATTTTCTGAAAGTTATACAATAAAGGAAGATATAGTGGTATTTTAAATGTGAATGATTTTAAGATTGTGTTCCACAAAACAGAAAACTGCCTTCAGACTATCATTTTCAAAATATCGACTATGGCAAAACCAGTTATTTTAATTTAAAAACTAAACTACTAAACCGACTTTGATAAAATTTCCATGGAACCAATGTGTAAGTATATGCTTAAAAATAAAAAATATTTTTCAAATTAGTGTACAAGTGACAGAGTTATGAGGTAAAAAACATAAAAAAAGAATGAAAATGGAAATGAATGGAATAGAATAGAGCTTCTCGCTCATGTGAGTTCCTGTATGTTGTGCATACATGAATTTTGAATTACACTTCTTTTTGGGCACTTAGGTAAAATTTACTATTGGATGGTATTATCTTATTCTTATAATTAAAATAGCTATTAACTTTCCACTGCTGAACAAAACATTCTCTATAAGGGGAGTTTTGCCAGTAGTTGCCATGCTTGGCAAGCGGATTGTCAACCGCAGTTAGGCATTGGAGATATTTTAAGAGGGGCGCTGCTGTCCATCTCTCGACTATTAGTTCTCTTCATTGCTTCTTACGCCGACCACGGGGAAGAAAGGAGTGGCCCAATCTATGCCGGGAGCACAAGGCAAATTTATTAGTTTATCTTATGATTAATAATAAAGCTGTAAACTAGAATACTAATAAGGCTCTATATACTTATGTATTGAACTATAAGGTAATAACATACGGAGCTACGATAACATCTGTTCAAGTTCCTGACAGAAAAGGAGTTTCCGATGACGTTGTGGCTGGTTTTGAGACTTTACAAGGTACCTTTACAGTAATTAATTTTTTACAAGCGATCCGGCCCGACTTTGCATGGATAGACAGATTTTTTGAAAAATAATGTATAGTTTATATTACTGGCTGATAATATAGCTTTCTATAGGCGAAAGAATTTTTAAAATCGGTCGAGTAGTTTTTGAGTTTTTATTTAGATAAAACTTATATCGGATTTTAAATTAGGTCTTTAAACATACAATTGTAAAAACTGCACCTAATGTGTTGCAATAGTTTTTACATGATGCTGAAACAAACATATAGAAGGTCATTATTTCTAAAAATTATTCTTTTAGTTCTATTGGTCTTATTAAGATCCTTAATATATTTTTTTAAATATCTATAAAATTTTATTATATTAGTAAGATTATTAGCTAGCTGTTTTTCGCAGCTTTGTCTGCGTGAATTTAGAAAAATATACCCTGCATGTTAATTCAGTACATGGCCTAATTTTGTATCAAATTTCATTCAGTCGTTAAAGCATGATTGAGTGAAAAATATCAGAATATTTAAACATACAAATATCTTCAAAAACTTTTCCATTTATAAAGTTATACAAAAAAATTTGTACAGAGTATTTCCAGCCAAGAAACCCATATTTTGGAGCTACCATTGGGCGGTACGCGAATATTATTCGAGATGGTACTATAGTGGTCAGACCATCCGGTAGAATGTATATGCTATCCACAAACAAGGGTCACGACCACTACAACGGTGGATATGTGGGATTTGATAAGGTGGGTTCAGTTTCTTGGTATGTGTAGTGTAAGTATGCATTTGTAATCTCCAATTTGTAGTCTAGTCTAGACTTTTCGATTATGCAGCGACGCTCGTAAGTTGTCGCGTTGCAAACTCCACTCAGGGACGTGTCTTGATTGTTTAAATATTTATATTGTATAGTTGTATTAGCTGTATTTTTTAATATATTTATAAAATTTCATTAAAATCAACGATTTCGAAGATTAGCCTGAACGAACATTTTTCTATATTTATGTTCAATTTATTCACTGTTACTGCCATAATGCTCTGGTATAGAATACCTATGGTCTGCGCATGGCACCGAGTAAGCCTATATTTATAAACAAATACTACTTTCTGTTGAATTAACAAATTCTGCTCCATCTATGTGTTACTTAAAAGTTAATTAGGTATATCACAATATATATTATTGTGTTAATGTATTATATATTTATATTTGTATGTATTCTTTATATATTTAGAATATTATTCGGTATGATATTTATTATTATGTCAATTTATATTAATAGTTTTTTTTTTGTGTAATGTATGTTTTCCACCATAACATTATGATAGGAGATTTTTTTTTATATTAAGACGTACCAAGTGCGGATCCAACCCTTAAAAAAAGCTTGTGGTAATCATCATCTCAGCCCCCATAGACAACCATAAGTTTTCGAACAAACACGACTTTGTTTTATAACTAACCTCTAGCAAGTTAAACGCTTAATAGTGGATACTGGCTCTAAACATCATTGAGTAGGTTCAATGCAAGAGAGAAAGGAGCTTGCTTGGCCAACTCTGTTCTTCTTAACGGAACGGTACGGTCTTTAACCGTAGTTATATATTGAAATTGGTATGTATGATGTATAGTAATTTAAATATTTTTTTACGTAATCTTACCATCATTCATGTTTTTTTCCTAAAGAGAAGATATGTCCGCCTTTTAAACCATGTACAAATGTAATAAATATTCTTGTTCTTTTTATTTTTAATGAAAAATAAATAAAAAATGACAAATTTTGTTTTTTTTTTTATTTTTACTTTGCTCAATTTAAATATATTGAATGATTTAAAAAATATATCCTACCTACTATATACATCCGCCTTTAACTGTCCACTGCTGAACATATTTTGTTAGTAGTTGCCACGATTGGCAGGCGTCTTAGCAGCATACCTACGTCTACCTAAAATTCTCCATTCCAAATACAGTGTGTAGGTGTATGTATGTCAGATTTTATTATGATTGGTTCAGCTGTTAGTGGCAAAAGATGACAAACTAACTCACTTTCATATTTATAATATTAAATAGGGATTTACGTGAATACACGTGAAATTGGGAAGTAATTTATATTTGATTTCAACACGTAATGTGTTACCGTGCCGTGTACAATTAGTAACTACAATTAATAAAGTATAATGATATTAAATTACTATATGACGGAAAAACGTACGCATAGAATGTTCATTTTTACTTTGAGGAACTGCGTCAAGTGAAAAGAAATTATATATCTACACGAAAATTTATGAGTGTATGATTTAATGAACCTAATCTACATTTATTAGGATTCGTTATTCTTTGTACTTCTTAATTTGTTGAGAATAAACATTGCTTTTCCTTCCTATTCCGTGGGTGTCGTAAGAGGCGACTGAGGGAACTTAATAGCCGAGGGATTGGGGAAAGCGTCCCTCTTAAAACATCACCAATTTCTAACTGCGGCTGCCAAATCACTTGCCACGCATTTATACTACTGCCCCTCCTCCCTCCTCCCTCATAAGGGGAAGCCTATATTTTTTTTATGGGTGACAATGAAATGACAACCCCACCCGCGCTATCGGTATACACCGGCGGGGCACCAATAAAGGATGATAGATGAGGATAAAGCAGGTCAGTTAGCCCATCGTGACGAATTCAACAAGAATTGTTCACGATGGTTTCCAGGGGAAACCACGTGGAGGTCGACCTGACAGGGCACATTGCTAGCAGTGGGGCTGTCAAACTCTATTGCTAACAATCCCTTTCCCCCTGGGGAGGCCTATATTCAGCAATGGTCAGTTAACGGCTGATATGATGAAACCTTGTTTAAATTTACTTATCCTTCTATCTCCTTAGGAGGGAAAGGGACTGTTAGAAATGGGGATTTACTAGCTCAATTACAGCAATATGCAGGTCGATCTCCACGCGGTTCCACCTGGAAACCATCGTGGTTAATTCTAATGGAATTTATCACGATGGGCTAACAGACCTGCTTTCATTCTCACCTACCATCCCTTACTGGTGCTCTGTCCCATTCGTGTTCCAACCGTGAAGCAGTTTTGTTTGCATGGCTGTGTTTCGGTTTAAAGGGTGGGATATGGCATGAATTTACTGGGTACAGAGGAATAACACCTGAGTCCTCAGGAATGGCAACGCATGGTACGAAACAGTATACTCTGTTATGTCCATGGTACTGCTCATGTCTATAGGCGACGGTTATCACTTTCCATCAGGTGGACCGTCAGGTTGTTTGCCATTCTAAGTTGTATAAAAAAAATTCGTATGGGGTTTCGCATCACAAAATTTAAACACACACACAATCCTATATATTATTATATAATATTACAATACCTTTATTATTTTTGTTGTACATACAATAGCTATTGTAAGTCATTCTGTATTGTAGTCATAATGCACTAGCGATCCGACCCGGCTTCGCACGGGTAGACAAAATTTTTGAAAATTATATGTAGTCTATTTAGCTGGCTGATAATGTAGCTTTCTTTATACCACTGTGGTGGCAATCAAGCATACGGCCCACCTGATGGTAAGCGGTTACTGTAGCCTATGAACACCTGCAATACCAGAGGTATTACGCGTGCGTTGCCGACCCTGAAGAAACCTCTTTACCCCCATGCTGTAATCTCTTGGGAAAGCCTCAGCAGGGAGCTCATTCCATAACCTGAGTGTTCGTGGGAGAAAACATCTCTGAAATCGCGTTGTACGCGACCATTTAGGTTGTCCGCACATGACAACTACTGACAAAACCTGTTATATTTATAACTTATAACCTTATAGGAGAGGGCCATTTTTTTTTGATGGGTGAAAATGGTATTGTATCCCCGCCTGCCCTAACAGGATACGCTGGCGGAGCACCAGTGAAGGGTGATAGATGAGAATGAAAACAGGCCAGTTAGCCCATCGTGATGAATTCATCAGGAATTAACCATGATAGTTTCCAGCGGGAACCGCGAGGAGGTGAACTGGTTGGGTATATTGCTAGCAATGGGATTCTCAGTCTCCATTACTAACAATCCCTTTCCCCCCAGAGGCCCATATTCAGCAGTGAAATGTTAACAGCTGATATAATGATGATGATGATGATGAGGGTATTCGTATAGGTTACTCTATATTTAGGGGTACAAACAAACTCGTTTAGAGGTAAAAGAGATTGTTAGTAATGGGGTCTAATAGCCCCATTGCTAGCAATATACCCTCTCAGCTCGACCTCCATGCGATTCCCCCTAGAAACCATCATGATTAATATTTGTCGAATTCATCATGATGGGCCAACTGACCTGCATTCATTCTCACCTATCATCTTCCACTGGTGCCTCGTCAGTGTATACCGATAGCGCAGCTGAGGTTACCATTCCATTTTCACGCCTTAAAAAAATAACACTCGTGTACATACTTAATAATATTTAAATAAGTATCAATTCATTCATTTTTTTACAACACAGGGGGCAAACGAGCATGCGGCTCACCTGATGGTAAGTGACTACCGCCGCCCATGATCACCCACAACACCAACGGCATTGCACGTGTGCTGCCGGTCTTTTAAAAAGGAATATGCTCTTTTCTTGAAGGTTATGATGTTGTATCGTTCATTCATTTCTGTTGACGGATATCATGCACGTCACAAAACATTCCGTGATGTAATTCACTTCTATACGGTGAAGCTGTTCGTTCGTCATCAGAGTTCTATAAAAAAAATGTTATTTAGGTGAATTGGCGTTCATATGTCAACGGGAACAAAGTTATAATGAGTCACGTGTCAGACCGCTTCCACGAGGGTTATCCCGGGACGGTCATGGCCCAAGTGACCTTCGAGGTGACGTGTGACAACACCATCAAGATCGACATGAGGTGCACCACCAGTGAGCCAACCATCATCAATTTGAGTAATTCGCCTTACTTCAATCTCGCGGGTCATGTAAGTGACTCAACTCATATTATTCCTTTTTTTTTTCTGAATGTGTTTGCTGTTGGCCGTGAGTGGCGTTTACAGTTTCACCAAACGCGTATGCAGGGGGGAAACAGGTGGCACTCCTAGTCTGCGAGAGGGGACCGACAGACGTTTAGTCTCTTACTTATGGACTGCGGCGTGCGCCTAAGGGCGCCAGAATGGCTCGGGCCTCGGATTAGGCCACCGCATTTCGACCCCCGTCAAGGGACGGCGAAGGGTCGGTATATCGTGATGTATATGATGTTATACCGTGTGTCACGTGGGATCTTCGTGTCGTGCGGTGTGCGTGTGTATTTGCGGGGGCTCTCAACGAAGTTTCCGCGGTAGGGAGGGTGGGAGCGCGTTGGCTATCGTAATGAGATCGTCGGAGTCCAAGAGTGCATGCCTCGGGCGAAGACGTCGGGGAGTCTCACATTATTCCGTGCTCAGCATTTTACTGTAGTGTCAGGAACACTACAGCGCTGATTTTCAACACGAGCCTCAGCAACCCGCGGGGTCCTAATAATAATAATACATTTTGGAAAAGTTTGACTAACACAGTAGTGTACTTAAAGTGTAAAAAACAATGCAAATAATATAATATATATAATAAATTTGTAGTGGGTACACACGTATTAAATAATAAAAGAAAAAACATAAAACAGGCACAGTCAATATGTCAAAATTGGATATGTTTTTCGTCAATCTTTAATGACTTTCTTTCCACGTGCCCGAACTCACGTAACACTTCCATTCTACTCCTTAACAATGACGTTTGTACTGTAGCACGCGGGCTGCGAGACGGTGTACGACCACATATTCACCATCAACGCTGATAAGTACACGGTAGCCGACGACGACGGGACTGTAACAGGTACAGTGAATATTTAGAACAGACCTATTTTTGATTTCGCATAAATCAGCGGTTTCATTTGTTATAACTACCTAATCAGCTGTTCTGGGGGGAGGTATTTTTTTAGTTTTGTTTTTAGTAGTCCAATCGCTAGCAATATACTCTATCAGATCGACCTCCACGAGGTCCCTCCTAGAAACTATCATGATTAATTTCCGATGAAATTTTCTTCGATGGTCCAGTTCACCTGACTCCATCTCCACCTACCATCATTCACTGGTATCCCGCCAGCTGTAGCCGACAGCGCAGGCGGGGTTTACTATTCCATATTCACCATTAAAAAAACCTAGCCATTTCCCAACTTAACATATAGGAAACATTATATACTGATTCTCGCGGGAGAAGCTGCGCGATAAACCTAGTAAATAAATAAATATTGGAAAGATAATTATAAAAGATAATATTGGTGACGTAACTTCGTAACATAGTAAAAAAAAAAAAACAAGAACCATCCTCTTATGTAAATTATTTAAAAAGATTGAGTGTTAGATACGTATGTACAAATAAAAACGAGTAGGCGACTAGTAACGCCATCTAGTAGTGACATCGCAATATTATTGATGTTGGAGTACGTATACTATACTTAATACATATTGATTACTTATAATAAATTTAAAAATAGTGTTCCACAAAAATAAACCGATCCCAAACGTGATAAATATTTGTTTAAAAATTAAATAGTGGGGCAAATATGTAAGTATATCCTTTCAGATAAAAAAAAAATCCAAGTCGGTTTTAAATGTCAAAATTATGAGGTAACAAAAGAACCTCCTTCTCTTTTGAGGTCGGTTGAAAATGAACGAATATTACGACATTTGTAAATGGTCAAATTGCTCGAATTCAAATTGTAGATACATTATAATCGGCTTAAATGACCTATAGCAAAATTATGTCGACGATCAAATAACTGATTAAAGTAAGCTACCTATATTATTATGATTACAGTCATTAACTATCCAATGGTGAACATAAATCTTCCCCATAAAGGGAGTTACCACGCTTGACAGACCTGTTGGCAAACGCAGTTATTTTTTTAATGTATGATAATGGAATGGTAAGTGCGGGGGAAAAGGTATTGTTAGCAATGGAGTTTAACAGCCCCTATAGCTGCCTATGCTTCTACTATTAAGTTCCTTTAGTCGCCTCTTAGAACACCTACAGAATAGAAAGGGATGGCCTATTCTATGTCAGCACCACAAGGGGTTTATAGCTACCTATATTACGTACATATAATATTGTATAACGTACATAAATAAATACATAAAAAACGTTCATGCTCATTTTTTTACTTTATCCGAGCAGTAAGTACTTTATATTATTCTCAATTTCGTGTATAATATAGTATATGTTATATATGTGTAAGTATATTTGTTTATTATATATATATATATATATATATATATATATATATATTCGTCTATATATGTAATTTTAGTATGTATGTATATCAATAATTACTGGTACCGCATTCGAGTATTCTGACACTTCCCTATGGTTGACTGGGAGAGAATGCTTTTAGCATTAAGTACGCCATGGACACATATATGTACTAATGAATAAATAAATAAATCAGAAAATGTACAAGCTCATCAGTCACATTATTATGAGTTTGGTACCTATAATTCTTAGCGCACGTTTCTATCTATAATCTAAGTGATTACGTGCGGAATTTAAGCTACCTTGCATTATGGTGTCATTTGTATTTTATATTTCCAGTAGTTATTCCGTATCCAATACTTTTGAGTAAGCAGTTTTAGGTAGTAGTTAAAGTAGGTTGAACATTTTGATGATTGTTATATTGTGTGAGATTGAGACAATGTAATGAATAATATCAGGGTCCAAGGTTTTGCAAAATGTACCTTATAAACCTACTTATTACTGATAGTTTTTTTTTATGGGAGGAAAATGGAATGGTAACCCCGCCTGCGCTAACGGGATACGCTGGCGGGGCACCAGTGAAGGGTGATCGATGAGAATGAAAACAGGCCAGTTAGCCCATCATGATGAATTCATCTGGAATTAACCATGATAGTTTCCAGGGGGAACCGCGAGGAGGTCGACCTGGTTGGGTATATTGCTAGCAATGGGATTCTCAGTCTCCATTACTAACAATCCCTTTCCCCCCTTACTGATAGATTTAGGGTATAATGGAATGGATAACCCCGTCTATGCTATGAGAATCCGCTGACGGGACAGAAGTGAGAGACGATAAGTGAGGGTGAAACAGGTCGTTGGCCCATAGTGAATTAATAAAGAAATAATCAACATGGTTTGGAGGGGAAACCGCATAGTGGTCGACTTGACATTGCTAGCAATATACCCATATTGCTATCAATGAAATTGGTAGTTCGCATTATTGATATAAGATTTTTTTATGTTGAAAATGAAGTGGCCACCCCGCCTGCGCTAGCGGTATACGTTGGTGGAGGAATTAACCATGATAGTTTCCAGGGGGACCGCGTGGAGGTCGACCTGGTTAGGTATATTGCTGGCAATGGTATTCATCGATGGTTATGGACTAGTATTACTTAATATAGTAGAAATATATAATAAGTGAAGATGAAAGCAGGTGAGTTCTGTCATGGCAACAAGAATTAACCACAATGGCTTCCAGGGAGGATCACATGGAGCTCAACCTAACGGGATATATTGCTAGCAATAGAGCTCTCCACTATTAACAATATCTTCCCCCCCCCCCCCCTGGTATCAACCTTTAGGTAACCACGGTCTAATTTTAAAATTGGAAGTCAATAAAAATATGGATTTGTTACAAATCATTAAGAAACCAACAAGGATGTTCGTTTGCCATGTGGTCCCGGCATAGAATAGGCCACCGCTTTCTTTCCCGTGGGTGTAGTAAGAGACAATAAGGAAGGGCGAGGGATGGGCAGCGGCGACCCTAGTGAAACTACTGGCAAAACCCCCCAAGGGGGAGACTTATGTTTAGCAGTGGACAGTTAAAGGCTGATATAATGATGATGAAAGATGTTCGTGTATGTAATGTAACCTACTTGTGTATCAAAATTTCATCCAAATTCGTTAATCCGTTTAAATGTTATTGAGTAACAAATATATAAACATGTCTTAAAGCTTATGTATGATATTAGTACTTAGAAATAAAGTTTTGGTTTAGGACAAAAGAAGGTTGTCGGTGGCACTGCATACGACTTCAGAGTGCCACGTGTCCTCAAAGCGATGATACCTAAGATACCTCTAGGGGGATACAACGTTAACTTCTGCATCACACAGGGCACAGAGCAGGATCTGACATTCCAAGCTAGGTAACACAAAAGATTATTAATAGATAGATAGATAGATACTCTTTATTGTTACCTCCAAAAGATTGCAATAGTAAACTTATCATAGATACGAACAATTACAAGAAATGATCATAGTGAGAAAATAATGGGCGAATCCCTAAAAGCGATCTCTTGCAACCTTTGGATGGAGAGATGTATTAATGTGTTTTTTTTTTTATATAGTCTATGCAATTAGCATGATTCGAGTAGTATCTTAGTAAACTATAAAAAAATATATAATTAATATTGGAAACGTAATTTACGTATTTAACAATTAAACAAATATATGTAATAAAAATAAATATAACGCCATCTAGTACCAAAATATACAGAAACTATTATGCGTATTAGAAAACTTATGTCTATATTATTATTTCTATAAACATATAAATTTTTTTATACCACGTAGGTAGCAAACAAGTATACAGCTCGTTTGATGGTAAACGGTCATTGTAGCCTATGGACGCTTGCAACAGTAGGGATTTTTTTTGATGGGTGAAATTGGTATGGTAACCCCGCTTGCGCTAACGGGATACGCTGGCGGAGCACCAGTGAAGGGTGATAGATGAAAATGAAAACAGCCCAGTTAGCCCATCGTGATGATTTCATCAGGAATTGACCATGATAGTTTCCAGGGAGAGCCGCGAGGTCGACATGGTTGGGTATATTGCTAGCAATGGAGTTCTCAGTCTCCATTACTAACAATCCCTTTTCCCCCCGCAACAGTAGGGGTGTCGCATGTTACTAACACTGTTACAACCTTAATACACCCTTTTTAAAGAACATTATATTGCAGTCTTTAGGGAAAACCTCGGCAAGAAGATAATTCTAGATGAAAATTCGATAACCTGACCATTTTTTTTAATGCATGGTAATGGAATGGTAACCCCGCTTGTGATATCGGTATACGCTGACGGGGCACCAGTAAAGGATGACAGATGAGCATGAAAGCAGGTCAGTTAGCCCATTGTGATGAATGCAACAAGTATTAATTAATTACAATGGTTTCCAAGAGCAATCGCGTGGAGGTGATCGTGGATCTGAGGCTTGCTGGCAATAGGGCTTTAGTCCCAATTACAAACAATCCTTTTCCTCAATACAGAAGTATTTAGGTGGGTATGTAGGAATACCTGGACCAAATAATTCCTGAGTGGTGTTATGTCTCTGTGCTATGTCATTTCACTGGCATATCTCATTCTACAACATTATAAGTTAAACGGAGATTGGGTACCTCCAGTAGACGATTTTAATAGTAACTTTTATATTATTAAATTGTTATATATTTTTTATGTTTAGAGCCTTACACCCCTTGTCTGGACGAGTGCTGGAGGTGTACAGTAACCAGCCAGGCATGCAGTTCTATACTGGAAACTCGCTACCAGATCCCGACAAGATTGTAGAGGTCTGTCACGTTTAGATAGCATTTTTTTTTGTTAATATTTTTTATATATATTTATTATATATTTATTTTTATATCTTTTGATATTTTAATGTTAAACTTAGCATATCTTTTAGGAAATTAAAATAGAACTAAGAAAGTCAAAGGTAACATTAAACAATAGTGCTAGGTTAGTGATCTTTATATTGTTTACCTAACTTCGACACCAGAGGGTGGCACCCTCACATAAATAAAGAATTAATTTCTGTTCTTGTTCACATTAAAAAAAATTAAAACAATACATATAAAAAATTAAAATGGTTAAGCATTGTAAAATGCTTTTAGGGAACACCTGAAGAAGAAGAGGAAGAAGGTAAAGCCGAGGATGAAAGCGAGGAGTTGGACAGTGAGGAGTCGAGTGCAAAAGGTGAAGAAGCGGATGAAGAAGGAAGCGAGGTGAATTTATGATACATTTTTCTTTTGACTTAAAACTTACAAATAGTTTTTAACTTTTGGAATTTTTATTTTTAAATATTTACCACCTTAGATTATATTGATAGAGCATTGAGCCTCAAAACTGGTCAACTTTTTGTCATTATATTTTTTTATCAGTATTTTACGCATAAAATATATCTTGACGTATTATTTAATAAATATTATATTTAATGAGTGTTTACAAATGAAAAAGATACAGAATTTATAAGACAAAATAAATATGGAAGTTATAAAGGAATCACTCATGACTATTTATCATGCAAAATTGTATGAAAAAGTTGATTCGTTTTTCTTGAAGTATTTCTATGGAAACACTCTATTTATATAGGATTTACGAGATTGATTTCGACCGATCTATATTATAACGTTAATATCTCTGCTATAGTGTGTAGTGATAAATAGTTAAAGACAATTTTTATGAATAACTTTTCATAAAATTTGACAGGTAATATACATACATATATTTACGTGTCCTATAGTATACATTTTTTTTTAATGGATTATAATGGAATGGTAACCTTGCCTGCGCTAACGGTATACGCTGGCGGGGCACCAATGAGAGGTGATAGGTGAGAATGAAAAAGCGGGTCAGTTAGCCCAGCGTGATGAATACATCTGGAATTCAGCACGATGGTTTCCAGGGGGAACTACGTGGAGGTCGACCTGACAAGATATATTGCTAGCAATGGGACTAGTAGTCCGCATTACTAACAATCCCTTCCCCCCAATGGTATACATTGGACAAATGCAGAACTATTAAGACCTTTTGTAATATAGTATTTTGTAAAGAAATTATTTTATTTCATTTGATAAATAAATGATTAAAAATTAACATTTTTTTCATTAATAATCAACATTCCTGTACAAAAAATAAATTTACGGGTATATTCTATTTGTTGTTGTATATAGTGGCGCCATCTCTCTGGAGTATTGCGTCAACTTCTTTATTTTATGAAATAAATATAATTTCTACAAGACAAAACTAGAGTATACTCAATTTTATGTTATTGTCGACAGGGCAAACCCAGATATGGCTACGTACCCCTGATGGGAAAGTCCGGCGCTTACTACAAGAAGCATGGGCTCTTCTGTCTTATGCCTCAGAACTATCCAGACGCTGTTAACCATGTAAGATTATTTTTTATTTTATTTCAGGTGGGTTGGCAACCGTAGTTAGGATTTGGTGATGTTTTAAGAGGGGCTTTGCTGCCCATACCTCGACTATTATGTTTCCTTAGTCGCCTCTTACGACACCCACGTTAAAGGATGGGGTGGTTTATTCGACTAATCAATTTTTATGTTATTGGTTTTCTATTATTATTTAAATAATAAGATATATATATTTTGTATAAAATACCTTATAATGTTATTTCATACCTACATTTGAATTACAATGTTTTAATAAAAAAAAATTATATATTTATATTTTCATTAAATAACATCTATTGTATAAGTACATAAATACATATACTATATTTATTTATAGTATATGTATTTATGTAATATTTTATTTAACTGTATATTTGTTTATGTACTCTAAATATTAATAGTTGTAGCACTTCAGCTGCCCGCTAACAACATGCTTTCTAACTGCATTGGGTTGACTGGAAGAGATCTCTGTCAGAGATAAGTCCACCCTTGATCACAATATTTATAAATGAATTAACAATGTAATTTACAAGTGCAATAAAGAATGTAATAAATTCTATTAAACCAAATTATAGATAGATATTTACTTTTTTTCAGAAAAACTTCCCAAACTCCGTGCTGAATCCTGGAGAGGTTTACGTTCACAAGATACAATATAAATTCGGCATACTCCTAGGAAGATATGTGTGAAAAATTGTGACGTTTAGTAATAAAAACAAATGAAATGTTTACAGACTTTTAATCTTTCTTAATAGCCACATTTTAGCCAAGTTTCCACTTTACAAGATTTGTTATTCATTGACTATGAATAAATATTTAATCATTACTGCGTAAAGACTTGACACGAAGACAGATCATTGTATATATATATATATATATATATATATATATATATATATATATATATATATATATATACATATATGTATATATAGTTACTAATTTAAAAATATATTATTATTTAGTCCACGTTACAATGAAACTCCTAAAAGTGTAATACACAAAATTTTGTCTGCGGATTTCATGTCTGCATCTCCGCTACACTTTGTTTCTAAAAAAAGGCAAAGTATCGTCCGACAGTTTTTCCGGATTTTTTTTTTAATAAATTTAAATGTAAATAATATATTATCAGACATAATGTTGCGCCTCATAAATCAATTTAGAATTCGAAATGAGAATATATTTAAGAATTAATAAACAACTAAGTAACATAGGTGATTTCTTACAAATACTATGGCACCTTAAGTAGAGTATTATTTTCAGATACTGAAAAAAGTAACAACATCGTAAACAATATAACAGTAATTATTAAACATATTTCTCTCGGAACCGCATACGATTCGTAGAAATAAAAAACAAAAAAACTCAAAATAAATAATCAAAAAGTTTAAATAAGCGTATATCGAAGCAAGAACAACACCTTAAAATATAACCTAATAGTGTCAAGAATGGGAACGCAAACGTGTCAGGGGTGTCACAGTATATTCTGTACCGTCAGTGGCGCTGTTCATGTCTACATGCGACGATTGCCATATTAGGTGGGTCGTCAGCTTGTCATACCAATTTATATTAAAAATATCAGACAAAAAATATCGATTCGACTAAATTGAAATACAATGTGAAAGAAGATTGATGTAAGTGACGAGGTAATAGGTACTAGCTAACTTAAAAATTTTACTTCAAATTATCTTTAATTATTAAACAACTAACTAAAATACCAAGTCTCGATTCCAACGCCATCTAGTATCAACCATCATAAGTCGTGATAACAATAATATTTTTTAAATGCCTTTTTTTATATAGCTCTAACTCGATTAAAATGGCGTATTGATTGGATACACTTATATAGAATACGGCTAGTGGCGTCTAACTCACTACAACTGGGGGGAAAGGGATTGTTAGTAATGGAGACTGAAAATCCCAGTGCTAGCAATAAACCAGGTCGATCTCGCGGTTCTCACTGGAAATTATCATGGTTAATTCCTGATGAATTCATCATGATGGGCTAACGGGCCTGTTTTCATTCTCATCTATCACCCTTCACTGGTGCTCCGCCAGCGTATCCCGTTAGCGCAGGCGGGGTTACCATACCATTTTCACCCATCAGAAAACTCACTACTACTAGTACCTCATAACTCGCGTCAGTTATAAACTGACTAGGGAAATTCTTTTTTAAATAAAAGTATTTACTTACAGATTGGCCCCCATAGAATTTTCATCAAAATCAATTTAGTACTTTAGTTTTTAAATCAAAGTAACTGGGGTTGCCATAGTTCAAATCTTTTTTTTTTTTAAATACAATCTTAATATCTTGGAATATACTGAAACTTATACACACACGTGACCAAACGGTATTCTTAAAACTAGATATTATATAATAATATATGTCACTACATTTCTATATAACAAAATTAAACCGAACAAAAATCGGCATATAAGTTGCCAGAAAAAAAAATCACTAAAGTAGTACATTGAGTATTTCATATATTCAGGTTCTGGTATTTTTATATCTTATTAACTATAACATAGTAACATAAATGTAAATAACATGTTTAAAACATGGTTAATTTAAATAAATAGAATAAATCTCTTGTTATACTTTTGCACAATTAGTAAACAAAACTAGCATTATTATATATTTATTTATTCATTAGTACATATATTATGTAATGCGGACAGCCTAAATGGTCGCGTACAATGCGATTTCAGAGATGTTTTCTCCCACGAACTTGCAGGTTATGGAATGAGCTCCCTGCTGAGGCTTTCCCAAGAAAACGGCAACGCGCGCGTAATACCCCTAGTATTGCAGGCGTTCATAGGCTACGGTAACCGCTTACCATCACGTGGGCCGTATGTTTGTTTGCCACCTCAGTGGTATAAAAAAATGCTAAAAGCATTCTCTCCCAGCCAACCTTATAGTACCTCTCTCTATGTAATTCGCCATGTGCCGTAATCATCATATCGGCCACTAATTGTCCACTGTTAAACACAGTCTTACCCCATAAACTGACATAAGGAAAGGTCCCGAACCACCTGCATCTGCGTGTGGTGTTTAACGCAAATTTGCAAGACAGTTCTATATGTAAAAATGTCAGAAGTGCACATAATAAGTTCTTAACCCTTTTTTGCATACTGGTGAAAATTTCCATCATAACATTAAATACTCAAAAATTATATTAAAGAACAATTTCGCTTCAGGTTGACCCTGTCCGGATAAGGTATTTAATGTATTATAGTAGAAGTAGGTAATTTAATGTCCATTGCAGCAAAAAAACCATAGCTGTTAAATTTATTTTTTTTAATCATTTTGCCATTAATTATGAACATTTTTTTTTATACAACTTAGAATGGCAAACAAGCTGACGGCCCACCTGATGTAAAGTGGTAACCGTCACCTATAGACATGAGCAGTACCATGGACATAACAGAGTATACTGTTTCGCCTATGATACCCCCCATGCGTTGCCATTCCTGAGGACTCAGGTGTTATTCCTCTATACCCAGTAAATTCACGCAATATCCAGACATTAATTATATCACCTTCATTTATTTCACCAATAAAACAAAATCATGCAAAGAAGGGTTAAGTATTATGGCTGATAGAAATCTGTGTATAAAGGGAGACATACAGACGACAGACAGTGTAAACCCAACGTTTTATATTTATAAAACTGAACTAGACAAAAAAAATCCATGTTTTGTTTACCAATTGTGCAGAGTATATAAAAATAGAGTAACAAATAATATGTAAAGTATACTAATAATACCCATAAGTAACTAACTTTGGCATTCACTAAATACTATTTTCAGGGGGGAAAGGGATTGTTAGTAATGGGGACTACCAGTACCTATGCTAGTAATATACCCTGCCAGGTCGACCTCCCCGTGGTCCTACCTGGACACCATCGTGCTGAATACCAAGTGACGAATGAAAATGCAGGTCAGTTAGTCCATGGTGACACATCACGATGGGCTAACTGACCTGCATTTTCATTCTCACCTATCATCCATCACTGATGCTCCGTCAGCATATACCGTTAGCGCAGGCAGGGTTATCACTCCATTATCATTCACTAAAAAAAAAATACTATTTTCAATTTACAGACAATAATTTGACAAATTCGCTGAACCATTTGTTGGATTCAAACTGCAGTGCTATATGCCTGTAGTCCTTATTCAATTCGCCCTTTTCCTTCCTCGTGCAAAGATCTCCCAGTATATTATATAACTCGTTTTCAGTGTCATAAACTTCTTCCACCTGTTCCAAATATAACTCTCTGTATGACAAGCGTTTGGGTACCACTGGTATGCATCCGCAGTACACTGCTTCTAATCTGAAAAAAGAAATATATACAATTGTCTATGATTTCTTGTCTATGATTTTTAAATGACTTCGTATAAGAAGCAGGTTCTCAAATCGTCTATATTTTTATCTTTGCTAATACTGAATGAATTTTGATAGTTTTTTCTTGCATTCAAATTAATATCATCTTTATTAAAATAGACTTATTTATAAGTACTTTTAAATCGTCATTTTTTTTTTTAAATCTGCTGCAGGGTTCGATTAAATTACTCAACAGTTACTCTTTTAAATCTCTGTTAATATTATGTGTATTTATTTAAATATACTATGTCTAAAATTACCTGGTCGACAACAGTTAACCCCTTTCCATCAGGTGGACCGTCAGCTTGCTTGCCATTATAAGTTCCATAGAAAAAAAAAACAAAAGAAAAATGGAAATGAATTACTTATACCGGGGGGAAGGGATCGTTAGTAATGGACACTAAGAATCCCATTGCTAGCAATATATCCAACCAGGTCGACCTCCTCGCGGTTCCTATCATGATGAATTCCTGTTGAATTCATCATGGTGGGCTAACTGGCCTGTTTTCATCCTCATCGATCACCCTTCACTGGCCCCGCCAGCGTATCCCATTAACGCAGGCGAGGTTACCACTCCATTTTCATCCAATAAAAAAAAAACCTACTTATACCTACACGGCCACACCGAAAAATTCGTGTATTGCTGTAGAGACTACTACATCGGCATTGTTCAGAATCTTGTAGTATTCCCTGAGAGATTCTACATATCCGCAGTGCAACAACGATTCCTTTAAACTTCTGGATAATTCTCTAAAAACATCTGGCTTTTCATTAAATGATTCGCCTAGTATACTGACCTGCAATAAATAGTGTATTTTTTTAGTTTTTATTTAGAAACCCCGGCTTCACACCGGTGCACATCACATTAGAAACCTCTAAAATTATAAGTGTTCCTCTACTATATTATGCATGTATTATACATATAAACCTTCCTCTTGAATCATTCTATCTATTAAAAAAAAAACGCATCAAAATGGGAGGATAAACTTAATGGTGTTGTTAGGCTAAAACTGTATTAAGATTAAACTTAATGGTCAGAAGATGGGCAGCAGTGTCACTCTTTAAACATCACCAAAGTCTAACTATGTTTGTTCGGGGGGAAGGGATTGTTAGTAATGGAGACTGAGAATCTCATTGTTAGCAATATACCCAACCAGGTCGACCTCCTCGCGGTTCTCCCTTGAAACTATCATGGTTAATTCCTGTTGAATTCATCATGATGGGCTAACTGGCCTGTTTTCATTCTCATTTATCACCCTTCACTGGTGCTCCGCCAGCGTATCCCGTTAGCGCAGGCAGTGTTACCATACCATTTTCACCCATTAAAAAAAAAACTATATTTGTTCAACTAAAAATGGTTGCCTGCCAAGTGTTGTAACTACTGGCAAAATTCCCCAATTAGAAGGAGATCTCTGTTCTACAATGGACAATTAACCGCTGATATGATGATGACAAAAGATGTTAAAAAAAAAAACTAATATGCAGAAGTGGTTAAAACGTCCTATATAAATAAAGTGAATTATTCACTCACTGGCTTTATAGTATATTGTTTAAAATAGATCAATTCTGTTACACAAATATAAAAATAAATAAATTAATTAACTAACCTTGAAATGGTAACCATTATTGTCCAACCTCTTGAGAACTCTGTAAAAAGCTTCAGGATTCTTGTCAAATTCCCATCGGTGTGGCCAAACTATATGCAGAGTATTCGAAGTGGTCTTGTCAACCAGGGATAAATATTTATCCATTAAAGATATATCCATAGGATAGTACACCACATAACACTTTCCCTCTATGATTTGTTCCAAGTTCTTAACTTTGTAATCTGGTTGTAATTTTAAGTGACTTTTTATATGGGACAGGAATGAATCTTTATTGTAGTAAGAGTTGAACAGTACTTTATCTGCTGTCAAACTGCAATAATAAAAAAAGAAAATATTATTAAAACAAAAAATAGAGTTATTCTAATAAGCAAGTTTACCTGATCAATACATTAATGTACTTGCATGTTATAGTTTACGTTTGTATTTGTAAACTTCTGTTATGTGCGTCAAATAAATAAAATAAAATAAAATAAAACAAAATTAGTGAGCTCATGGCTATAAAAATTGATATATTATTATTTTTTAGACATGTTTTTGCTCATAGCTGTAAGTCACAGTTCTGGGGTGGGAATTCTTATTAATGTTATAAATGTGAAAGTGAGTTTGTTTGTTACCATATAACATAGCTTAACTGCCACTAGGAAACATGTTATATGGATTGGAAAAGGTTATGGGTTACATTTTAGAGTAAACATATCTTAGTCAAGCAGACAAAGTTGTCCATAAATGGAAGTAATAAAATAAAACTCACCATGTCAATATTTCATTATAACCGTACTGAAAATCTCTGTCCTTTACCACACGAACGGGAAACTCCAATTGGTTTTCATGAAAGTATACAATTTTATGCAATTTCGTCAAGTCTGGCCTCAGTCCCAATAATTCTGCTAGAGGTAATACAGATGTACAGAGAAGTATCTTGAACTTGTGATAGACTGGTATCTGCGTGGACATGTAGAGAGCTGAGGTACGTGCACGCCAGTGCCATTTCTTGGCTGTCATTGTTATCAATTTGTACTGATGACTGGGCAAATCTGAAAATATCAATTTCTTTACATAAATAAAGAACAATTGCTGAATGTACGCAAGTGCATCACTTTTGAATGGCTGTAATTATTAGAACAAGGTTTGTATGAAAAAAAAACAGGGTACGCAGCTAGTTAAATATAATTTAAGGTTAAGCCTTGAATCAATTATGGTTAATTGCTATTACAATTACCAAGACTGGTTCTAGGGTTGCTTTTTGCTCAGACAGTATATGTTATATCTGTTATAAATTCTTTCCAAGTATTATCACCAAGGTCATCCAATGATACAAAGTATAAAATATTAAGTGGGGAGATAAATGTAAGGGAGAACAAGTGGTTAAAGGGTTTCGGCTAACCTGAATGATTACATGACAATTTGTGAAATTTTGTTGTTTTATTTAAGCAAGACTTTAAGGGGGATTTTGTACAAAAGTCATTTGCTTGGGTACCTCTGTCCCATTCGTGTTTCAACCGTAAAGCAGTTGTGTTTGCATGGCTGTGTTTCGGTTTGAAGGGTGGGATATGGCATGGATTTACAGGGTACAGAGGTATAACATCCGAGTTCGCAGGGATGGCAATTCATAGGGGATATCCTGGGCGAAACAGTATACTCTGTTATGTCCATGGTACTGCTCATGTCTATAGGCAATGGTTAACACTTTCCATCAGGTAGGCCGTCAGCTCGTTTGCCATTCTAAGTTGTATAAAAAAAAAAGATTCGACAACTGGTAGGGGAGAATAGACTGTGAATTACAGTTACAACCTATTCTCTCCCCTTACAACCCTACGGGGAACTGAATCATCCCAGGGTTGTTTATTTTCTGTTTTTTCTGAGTTTGTAGTTAACCTACAGATTTCAGTTTCTATGAATTTTAGCTTAACAATGATCACCACTGATTAATAAGGTTAATACCAAAATTTGAGTTTAATGAACATGTTACAAAAGTGATGTGGGGTGACTCAGTACTTCGAAACAGCAATAGTATAAGTATTTTTATTCTTTATGTATCATAGATTTTACAATTTATTGTATTTTATTTATTAATTAGTTTTTAAGGAAATTCTTTATACAATATTATTTTATATCAATGAAGTTACTATAAATATTACATTAAACAATTAATAAACTATTCTTGTATAGTTACACAGATAATAATGTCATATTATTATATTTTGATTGATGTCAATGGCTAATTGATTGACAAGGAAATTAATGATATATTTAGCAGACAATAAATTTAGCAGATAAAGAAGATGAGAAATTATTTGATTTCTCATCTTCTTTATCTGCTAGATTTATTGTATAGGTTTGTATAGTTGTTGTTGGGTATAGGATGATTTAAATTATGAGCATGATGGTAACATAAAAGAGTTTCATTATCTGATGAATATCTCTGATGAAGTTTACAGCTGATGATTAATTATGATGATCATTGCATATATTATCATAACAAAAAGATAGTTTCAGTGTTAGACTTTTATATAATACATTATAGTTATATTAGTATGGGGTTTTCCAACATCCCTGTGCAGGGACAACTAGTCTGCAGTCTAGGTTGCAGGGTTAACATTCGTATATAACTCTACCTAGATAGGTAGAGTTAATACTATTTAATTATAATATTACTAAGGTAATGATATCATACTTTATTCAATACTTACTTGATGTAATAACATCAATCAGTTTCTTATGCGAACCGCCATAAAACGGCTCCAGAATTAGAATTTCCTCTGGTCCAGAATCCATGATAAATATTTTGCGATTATTTCAATTAAAAACACATTTTTCACGAGGTTATATTTGGTGAGATTCGATAATTAATAAGTGAGATTCATTAATTAAATCTCAACTTTAATTACATAATGTAATGCTTATTTTTAATATTAATTCAGAACAGCGAAGCGATTTCATTTTATTATTAGTTTAATGTACGGCGTTTATGAATCTGTTATGGACCACATTATTAGAAATTCTCGTTTTCATTACTTTAAATAGTAATAATAAAAATTATACATTTTTTGTTTTAGGCTTCGAAAATTTGAAAAACAATTTTTTTACAGAACGTAGTAGAGTTGCCAGATGCGAATATTGGTTTTTACCTAAAGACTTAAACGTTATTGTTTCTTTCAAATCGATACTATGTCCAAAATTTATGCTTGCTTTTTAAGCACAATATTTTAATTCGTTTTGCCCTGTGTTACAAATTGAATTTCGAAAAATAATGCCTATTCCTTATGTTAGTGTACAGCTCAGTCGGCCATCTGAATCGTTTTTATTTCACTATTAATAAAATACTGTCGATGAATAAATCCAAACGTAAAGATTATTTGCAATTTAATTCATAGTGATTTGCTGTACCTACTCTTTATGTAGCGATGGTATGGTTTAGCGTAGTGTATGAAATTTTACTATGAGTTGTGAAATATTATAAGTCTACTATACAGTTTACAAATTTATTAAATTAGTCCAAATGTAATTTCATTAGTTTCTTCAAAATTTATCGATCACAAAATTTTTACCCACAATTACGTAAAAAATACCCAATCTGGCAATGCTAACAGACTGACAAAACACTGTCAGTCACACTCGATTGACAGCTCACATTTAAAATCTGACACTGACATTTAGATCTGGATTTTCTGATTAACAGCTGACTGGAAAATCAACAGTTAAAAGCTTTGCAGACGGTCAAATACATTAATTTATTACGGTACTACTGCATGTAGGAATAAAATGAAGCTGTTCTGTTTTCTTTGCATTTTAAGTTTCTATGGAGTCTATAAAAACAATCTTTTCTACCTTGATCAAGTTGTCGCAGGATTACATGAATGATTAAATAAAATAATTTCACATGCACTTACTTATTTCTCTTTTACTTATTGGATATCATTATTCATCTATAAAAATACTATCAATACGTTTCGTTTTGGTAAACCATTATGACTTACGCATATATTTTTTAATTGTTTCTTTTACTATTTAATTCTTGCTTGTCAGTTCTGTGCAGTGGAGACTAGCGTTTCATTACTAACATATCTTTCCTTTCAGAAAATGCATTCGTGGTTACCATAAAATTGTTCTATATAGTATTTTTTGATTTTCAAGTAACTTAGCTCAACTAAATTAGCAAAATAAGCATATAAACTAATATTGACCTAACTGAGAATTATATAATGAAAGTCAAAACATTGTATCTGCCACTGTGCCACAGTAATTGATGTTACAAGACCATACGGACTATGCATGAGGCCCTACAAATTAAATATGACTACTATTAGAAAAAGACTTAATTATTTAATTTGTCTACAACTTCGTATGCATGGATTTATAGGTAATTAACACATTTTTTTCGTGATAAAGTACGAGTGTTTTTCTAATAGTATAAATATCATCATCATCACAATCAGCCTACTGTAGTCCACTGCTGGACGTAGATTTCTCTAAAGGCACGACACTGAGAGCGATGTTTGGCTCTTCGCTGCCAGTTATTACGCGCAACGCTACGTATGTTTCCGCTCCACCTAAGCGCAGGTCGTTTCATATGACGCTTGTCGATTCGCGATCTCCATTCCTCTCTTATATCTACTCCATTACAATATATCTTGAATATACCTGAAAGACGTCGTGAAGCTGTTATAAAAAAGAATCTTTGTGGAAAGGTTCATTAAGGATAAAATATATTAATAACCACGATATTTGGCAAAAATAAACTTGAACTGAATTTCTATAAGTACAAAGTTGCTAATATTGGTTATTTTTTCAAATGTTAACACTTTTGTTACTTTAGTAATTACGTAATATTAAAAAAAATATTGACATAAATTATATTAATAATATTTTAATTTTGTAATAAGTAAGTACACTGATGTCACATTCAATTTATTATCGATACTTTGACGTAATCGCGTATCTCGAAACAAGTCATGTTCACTATAATGCTCAGATTGGTGGTGGGTCGTTGGGTTTGAATATGATTGATACAACGACGTCTGGTTCATCCGTCATACTCGTAAATGGGTGCCTATAGTACGGCTTGATCTGTTCAAGAACACTGTGATTCATTGTAATTTTATTTTTATCAGTATGAAGTCGAACAGTCATTTTATCTGTTCACATTTTTATTGCAACCTCAACTTATATTTAAAAAAAAAAACAATAATTGTGTTTCTTGTCCGTTCTTTAACCTCAACTTTTATTTAAAAAAAGCAATAACTGTGTTTCTTGCCCGTTCTTCAACCTCAACTTTTATTTAAAAAAAGCAACTGTGTTTCATGCCCGTTCTTCAACCTCAACTTTTATTTACAAAAAGCAATAACTGTGTTTCTTGTCCGTTCTTCAACCTCAACTTTTATTTAAAAAAGCAATAACTGTGTTTCTTGCCAGTTCTTCAACCTCAACTTTTATTTAAAAAAGGCAATAACTGTGTCTCTTGTCCGTTCTTCTCAGCTGAAATTGCATTCAGTACTTAACCGCATACAAAACGAGATGACGTAACAAACACAGAAAAAAGACAAACGAATTGAGAACCTCATTTTTTGCGGTCGGTTAAAAATAAGTTTGTGTTCATAAAATAATATGTCTAATTGTGTTCTAATTAGTATTATGTATTTGTATGTAGCTTGTATGAGTGTCGAATCAATTATCTGACTAAATGACTAGAGTATGACATAATGGTGCATCTTAATTCGTGTATGTCTCAGGAGAATGAGGATATTAGGATTTGTGTGATATATTTCTATTTATTTACATATTTTCTTCAATTCAAAATTATATGGGTACATATGGCGGGCTTAACACTTAAGGGCGTTCTCTACCAGTCGACTATGAGGCAAAGAGAAAATTAAGTAGATCGTACATTACTACGTACAAATTTATATTTTTAAATAAATTTACCTAATTTAAAAATATTATATGAATTTTATGGTCGAGCGACGGGCAATAGTGTCTTTCTTAAAATATCATCAAAGCCTAAATGCGGTTGACTACCTGCTTGTCAAGCTTGGCAAGTTCTGATAAAACTCTGAAGGCTTATATAGGCTTATATTTTGCAGTGAACAGTTATTGGCTGAAATACATACACACATGTACATGACAATAACACATAAACATATAATATTTATTTATCTAATATAAGTAAGTGTACATACTCGTATGGCGGACTTAACACCTAGTGATGTTCTCTACCAGTCAACCATGAATGAGGCAAGCAGAAAATGAATTGATTAATATATATGTATACATATTTATGGATGTATGTACGTAATGATGTAATGTACTTATAGTGTATATATATATATATATAAAAATAAAAAAAAATAGTTATATTACATGAACATGTTTAACGTTCATTAAACTAAATGTATTAAAATAAGGAAGGTATTGTGTTTCCTTAGTATTAATTTTTTACTAAGATCAAAATCTCCATTTTTGGTATAAATTTATTTATTTTTTTTTATTTAATATTATAAAGAAGAAAGTTTTTTTTTTTTATTTTGTTTGTAATGGATGAACTAAAAATGCATTCCCAAAGAGGGTTGACATCAGGCAGGTGGCTGTTCGTACAACTGTAAGCCAAATCTTTTTGTAATATGGATAAAAAAATATATTACGCTGACCCCAAATAATAATGTAATGCCTATGATACTTGTCATGCGTAGCCATTTCTGAGCACTAAGTGTATGTCTGTGTGTTAAAGGCGAGGGACGGGCAGCAGTGTCCTTATTAAAACATCTCCAAATTCTAACTGCGTTTGCCAATCCGCCTGCCAAGCCTGGCAAATATTGGTAATTATGGGGGTCTGCCAGTAGTTGCCACGCTTGGCAGATGGGTTGGCAACCGGCGGCCTGGATGATGTTTGAAGAGGGACGCCGCTGCCCATTCCTCGACCATTAAGTTTCCTTAGTCACCTCTTACGACACCTACGGGAAAGGAAGGCGTGATCCATTCTATGCCGGGACCTACACGGCAGTCATTATTCAGGATAGGAATTAAAACTGATCAAACTCGATGATTTCAAAACAATAACTACATTGTATATTACATCGAAAACTGTTATTGAAAGTGGATTAATAGCTTAGTAGGTAAATTGATAAACTTAGATTAACAACACCTAGATAGAGTATTTCACTTCACACCATACCCTCAATAATATATGAGCTACCTTTATCATCGTATCAGCCCTTCACTGTCCACTGCTGAGCATCCCCCTTGGGTGGTTTCGCTAGTAGTTGCCACGCTTGGCAGGCTGATTGGCAACCGCAGTTAGACTTAAGAGGCGTTTTAATAGGGACACTGCTACCCGTTACTCGTCGTCCCTTAGTCGCCTCTTACAATACTCACGGGAAAGGAAAGGTGGCCTGTTCTATGCCTGGACCATACGGTTTCGGCATAGAACAGGTTCCCATGGTATCCACAGTGGTTAACAATAACATTTTTTTTAAATATTTTGCCATGTTTATATGATCACCATACTTTGAGGGAATTATTGGGCTAAATTTGAAAGCGGTCGCCCAAACTTATCACAATAATGATAATTTTGGGCTGAAATAGCAGAGGAGACTCTCAATATGTTTGTATTTATTTATGAGTAGTGGATTTGTTGTGTTTTCAAAATGAACCTTTTTTACATATACTGACAATTATATTTTTTTTTATAAAAAAGAATATTTATAACAATTGAAATAAAACAAAATATACAATACTTCAAGTCAATAGACGGCATTTTTACTTACAAATAATATAATTAATAAATAATATATACATAACAAGAACCAGCATATTTTACAAACACAATTAGTGGTCCTTCCAGCCGGATTTGAACCAGCGACCTATGGATATACGTACGTTGCGACTTGATACTTACGTACCTATAGTTCCGTATGTAAAGTAATTATGTACGCGACATAATTCTAAGCCCATTATCATATATTTTACAATGGGTAAAACTTTCCAATTAAACGAAGCGTATATAAATAAAATTAGCAACAAATTGAAATATCTAATCAATTAAACTATTTTTAATTTATGCTACAATTGGCACGAGATTGTCTTATGATCGAGTCAATTAT